AGGGATGTCCCAGGGATGTCCCAGGGATGTCCCAGAGGTTTCCCAGGGGTGTCCCAAGGATTTCCCAGGGGTGTCCCAGGGCTGATTTGGTGGGAAGATCCCTTTGTGTGCACTCAGGATTTGGTCTCCGGGGGGAGTTCCCTGTCCCCATGTCCCTCTCCCGTGTCCCCCCGTGTGCCACCATCCCTGGTGCCCTGTGTGCCACCATCCCTGGTGCCCTGTGTCCCCCCCGCTGCCACCCCTGTATCCGTGTCCCCTCTGTGTCCCATGTCCTGGGTCTGTCGCCATCCCTGTGTCCCCACGTGCTGCCATCCCTGTCCCGTGTCCGCTGTGTCCCCATCCCCGGTGTCCCGTGTCCCCACGTGCTGCCATCCCCGTGTTTCATGTCCCCTGTGTCCCCATCCCCGTGCCCCGTTGTCCCCTGGGTGCCACCACCCCTGGTGTCCCGCGTGCTGCCGTCCCTGGTGCCCTGTCCCCTGAGTGCCACCATCCCTTCCCGTCTGTCCCGGGTGCCACCTTCCCCTGTCCCTCCCTCTCCCGTGTCCCCGCTGTCCCCACGCCCCAGCGGCGGGAGGAGCCTTCGCGGGGCGGGGACACGGGGACAAGGGAGGGGACACGGGGACAAGGGAGGGGACACCGGGAGGGACGGGGGTGAGACGGGGAGGAGCGGGCGGGGAAATGGGAGGGGAACAGGGACGCGGGGATGGCAGCACAGGGGGACACGGGACACCGGGGATGGGGACACAGCGGACACGGGACAGGGATGGCCACAGAGGGGACATGGGACACACAGGGATGGCAGCACACAGGGGACACTGGGATGGGGTGGCAGCACACGGGACACAAAGAGACGGTGGCACAGGGGGACAAAGGGATGGTGGCACACGGAGGAGGGACAGGGATGGTGGCACAGGGGGACACGGGAACGGCGACAGACCCGGGACACAGGGACGGTGGCACAGGGGGACACAGGGACAATGGCACAGGATGACACAGGGATAGTGGCACAGGGGGACACAAGGACAATGGCACACACGGGACACAGGGATGGTGGCACAGGGGGACAGAGCGATGGTGGTACACGGGACACAGGGATAGTGGCACAGGATGACACAGGGATAGTGGCACAGGGGGACACAGGGATAGTGGCACAGGGTGACACAGGGATAGTGGCACAGGGGGACACAAGGACAATGTCACACACGGGACACAGGGATGGTGGCACCGGGGGACAGAGCGATGGTGGTACACGGGACACACAGGGGTGGCAGCACAGAGATAGTGACACGCAGGGGACATGGGGCACACAGGGATGGCAGCACACAGGGGACACGGGGGTGGCACCACAGCGGGCGTACAGGGACAGTGGGACACGGGGATGGCAGCAAACGGGGGACAGGGGGCACAGGGATAGTGGCACACAGGGAACAGGGCACCAGGGGTGGCAGCACATGGGGGACACGGGGATGGGGGTGGCAGCATTGGAGGGGGCACAGTGGCACATGTGACAAGGGACACGGGACAAGGATGGCAATACACGGGTGACACAGGGATGGCGAGAGACCTGGGACAAGGGACACAGGGACGGCAGCACACAGGGGACACGGGGAGGTGGTACAGGGGGACACAGGGATGGCCACAGAGCCGGGACACGGGGCACACAGGGGTGGCACAGGGGG